AGAAAATTCAAAAATGTCGTTTTTGTTTTTAATTTTTGGATGATGTGTTATCCACAATATCCCTGTAGCAGATATAGATTACAGTCAGACAGGCGTTTGTCCTGCTGTTTGGTGTGGCTTGGGAATAGTCTGCTTCATTCCTTTCTTTGTTGATAGTATTATTTTAGTGATATTTAAAATTACTGTTTAAATTGTCTTGCAAAATGGTTTGAGTTACTTGGTGATCATGAAGTTTGCCACCTACAGGTTAATGAACTTGTGTGCAAAACAATTGAATCGTAATAATAAATAATTGCCACCTGCAGGCTAATGAACTTGTGGCCTCAGCTGCAAAACAATTGAATCGTAATAATAAATACCATCAAAATAATACTATCAAGACTAATAAATATGCTCACAAGAAAGAGGGAAAACCATTCAGCATGCCTACAGTGTAGTTTAGTGGATAGAGTGACAAACTAGGCCCCTCGAGAAGAGCTTTCAAATCCCCAATTGACATGGAAGCTCACTGAGGGAATGGAACTGGTAAAAACACTCCTTAAATATTTCACTTACCTTGAAAACCCTATTAGGGTCCCTACAAACAGGTTCCAACTTGATACATGCACACACACTTCAAACATTTTTTTATTCTCTTCCCAGTTGTGAAATTCAAGCATTTCACTTCTTTACCTTGAGGCCTAAGGAAACAGCTATAATATGCTCTTCAGTCATGATGAATCAGGGAACATTTCTGATCCTTTTTCAGGAGAGAGAAGGGGCATTCTTTCTGGGTGTTGCTGGAGAGAAAGGCATCCACTATGCGGACCTTTGTCGGCAAGGTGATATCTCTGCTTTTTAAGATGCTGTCTAGGTTTGTCATTGCTTTCCTCCCAAGAAGCAGGCGTCTTTTAATTTCGTGGCTGCTATCACCATCTGCAGCGATCATGAACCCCAAGAAGATAAAATCTGTCACTGCCTCCATATCTTCCCCTTCTATTTGCCAGGAAGTGATGGGACCAGTGGCCGTTATCTTAGGGTTTTTTTATGTTGAGCTTCAGACCATTTTTGTGCTCTCCTCTTTCACCCTCATTAAGAGGTTCTTTAATTCCTCCTCATTTCCTGCCATCAGAGTGGTATCATCTAAATATCTGAGGTTGTTTATATTTCTTCCGGCAGTCTTAATTCCGGCTTGGGATTCATCCAGTCCTGCCTTTCGCATGATGTATTCTGCATAGAAATTAAATAAGCAAGGAGATAATATGCAACCTTGTCGTACTCCTTCTCAATTTTCAACCAATCAGTTGTTCCATATCCAGTTCTAACTGTTGCTTCCTGTCCCACATATAGAATTCTCAGGAGATAGATAAAGTGGTCAGGCACTCCCATTTCTTTAAGAACTTGCCAAAATTTTCTGTGGCCCACAAAGTCAAAGTCTTTTGCGTAGTCAATGAAGGAAAAGTAGATGTTTTTCTGGAACTCTCTGGGTTTCTCCATAATCCAGCGCAAGTTAGCAATTTGGTCTCGAGTTCCTCTGCCCCTTCAAAATTCAGCTTGTACTTCTGGGAGTTCTTGGTCCACATACTGCTGAAGCCTACCTTGTAAGATTTTGAGCATAACCTTGCTAGCGTGTGAAATGAGTGCAATTGTATGGTAGCTGAAGCATTCTTTGGACTGCCCTTCTTTGGGATTGGGATGTAGACTGATCTTTTCCAATCCTCTGGCCACTGCTGAGTTTTCCAAACTTGCTGGCATATTGCGTCTAGCACCTTAACAGCGTGATCTTTTAAGATTTTAAAACAGTTCGATTGGAATGCCATCATTTCTACTGGCCTTGTTGTTAGCTATGCTTTCTAAGGCCCACTTCACTCTCCAGGATCTCTGGCTCAAGGTCAGCAACCACACTATCTGGGTTGTCCGGGGCATCAAAATCTTTCTGGTATAATTCCTCTGTGTATTCTTGCCACCCCTTGTTGATGTCTTCTGCTTCTATTAGGTCCCTACCATTTTTGTCCTTTATCATGTCCATCTTTGCACAAAACGTTCCTTTAATATCTCCAGTTTTCTTGAACAGATCTCTG